GTAGAAATACCAATACAGAGAGAGCATCACCATGGAGGCATCTCCCCAGCATCTATACAGTAAACATTCAACATCTTGCCATTCAGAGCAGCCCGACGCTAACCTTAACACAGCTGCTTTGACTTGCTACCAAGGCATCAGATTTGCTGGACAATATCAACATGTTCAGACTGATATCCTGCACCCTCTCAGTTGCAAGAGATGCTTCTCAGACACACTGTACATGCAAGTCTGCCATGTGCCTGCAGAGATCCTGAAACCACCATGTATTCATTTCAAGGAAATTACTGGAACAGGGACAGGAATAAAATATAACCCACAGGAAAAAATAGTTTCTATTTGAGTGTAACAGATAGCCCCTGGGAAGATGACAACCTCTGTGTATTTGTTGATAGAATAAGCCGATGATACGGCTGGGCCACAAGAGAGGCTAATGAGTTTCTGTGATTATTACAGAAGGTGTGCTCAGGAGAAGCTGGAGATTAGTGTCATTGCTCAGGTAGCAGTAGGGGATCTGAAAACCAGGATGAGCCCAGGCATCCCAATTCAGTAAAACTCTAATTCAGACTGGAACAGGTACAAAAAGCTGTGTTGTTTAGTTAATCGCACAAAAAGAGACTAAAAATAGTTCATTTTGGTTGGAAAAATGAAAAACCAGGCATACAATTACAGTCTTAACAGATCAAGGGGATTACTAGCATCAGACCCTGCCTATTTTTACACTGAGAGCTGGAGTGACCCCTGCCTCCACTAACAATGTGCAAGACAAAAACCAGCATTAGCACAAGAGGAATTCTGTATTTAATTTCCAGCACAAACTCAGTGGTTAGTTGTGTAAGTGTTAGATGAGGGTAAGTCTGGAAAAGTTTTCCTACAGGAGAGCAGGGAGAAGTAGGCATCCCTCATTCAAGGCCATCTTGTCTTGTAGAGAGGATGACACAGTGGCACTGCCAGTAGCAGCCTGGCCTGGACTTCGTTTGCTCTTGCTTCAACATCTTATTTTTTCACTGATGACCATCTTTCCCCTGGGATGCTGCCCAAGCACATCCCAGCAGCAGTACCTGCCTGCAAGTTCCCCGAGCAGGACTGGGATTCTTCTTTGAATCAAGACAGGCAAACTTCCAGCTACCTCCCTTTTTCCCCTGACCCTAACACAGCTATTTGTGTGGATACCAAAAGCCCCAGTGACATCTGCAAAGCCATTGATATTTTTCAGTCACCTTCTCACTTTCCATGAAGCAATCGCAAGTTTTTAAGGAAAAAGGGAGAAGCAGCTTTAACATATTGAAAAATTAAAAATGTAGAGGGGCAGGACAAAACTGATAGAATCTTAACATTAAATTATACAACTGCAGGAATGCTAATGCAATTTTATCATTCATATTTAGTCTAATAAAATCCTCAGGCCTTTATCTCCACTCCAGCACCCTCCTGCATCACAAAAGGGTTTGGCCAAGGAGCAGAAATCAGGTGCATTGTAAGGTGTTTAAGCCAGGGAAGTTGCCATCTTCAGGATCTCCCCAGCCTGTTCAGTCCAGTCCCAGATTGCCTATGAAAGGGGAGGGCTGGTGTCCTGGGTTCAGCAGTAGCAGTCATTTTTTCTCCTTCTTAGTAGCTGATGCAGTGCTGTGTTTTGACTTTCAGCCTGGGAACAGTGCCGATAACACCGATGTTTTTAGTTACTGCTCAAATGTTTAGACTGGCCATAGGACTCTGTGAGCCTCATGCTCTGCCAGGGAGGAGGGGAGGCCGAGAGGAAGTAGAGACAGGACACCTGACCCAAGCTGAACCAAAGAGGTATTCCATACCACAGCACATCATGCCCAGGGGGGCAACTGGGACTTACCCAGAAGGGCACTCTCTTCTCAGTAGGGCACGTTTCAGCAGCTGGTATCATGTTCTCTTCCCTTGTTATTTCCTTTATCATTATTATTACTGGTGGCAGCAGCAGTGGTTTGTGTTATACCTTAGTTACTAAACTGTTCTTATCTCAACCCATGGGAGTTAGATTCTTTCGATTCTCCTCCCCATCCCTCCAGGAGTGGGGGTGGGGATTAGAAACTGCGTGGGTGACTGGGTTTAAACCACAACAGCTGGGTACCAAAAAATGCCAGCAGCACATCTGACCCCAGGAGATAGAACAGCTCATGCTGGAGCTCTCGTAACCTCCAAGACCTGCTGTATTTTAATCCCCAGATATGTAGGGATATGACAGATACTTTGTGCATCTTCCAGACCACAGGTTTCTTGTACAGTTACCTGAGCTCAGTGTGCTGTTCGCCTCATGTCCCTGTACTCCTTTGAAACCCTGTTCAGGGTTTTCACAAGATAGGAATTCAACATGCTCTCAAGGATCTGTGTGCCTGAGACCTGGGTAGATTTTAATTTCATACATTAAGTTGCTCACTAAAATCTTTTTACTTTATATCCATTTCCCAGCAGGATTCACAGGACCTTGCACTTGAAGGACTACTGATCCCTTCCAGTCACTCACCCCACTCAAGCCCCAAGCTCAGCCTGTGCACCGTTCACCCCAAACTGAGCAGAGCATGATTTCCACAATGCACTTTAAGGAAATTTCAACTATAAAAAGCCAACAAGAAAACAAAGAGCTGACTGAACTGCGGCAGAACTGACACGTTGCATGGTTTTGAGGAATTATTTAATTTCCCTTATTGATACAAGCTACACATTCACAATCAGCTCAGTGCCTCACCAGCCTTGTGCCAGACTGAATCATTTCATCTGGAAGATGACAAACCACAAAAGTTCAAGGTTGCCACAATAGCGATCAGGCTTCAGTATGGAAATACTGTAGACAAGCAAAACTTGCCAGACACAGAACTCTGCATCATGGGCAGAGCAAGGTACATGCTGATGCTCGCTAGAGCTGTAGAGCTCCGCAGCGGCCTTAGCCCAGAATGACACAGGAACACGGGGATTTAGCACCCATGGGATGAAGGGGACCCACCAGGTTCCGAAGGGCACCTTAGAGAGACCAGTACTTTCTTTGCTGCGAAGATGCCCTACAGGCAGTTCTTGCCTTTAAAGTTTTAATCTATCCCAGGATAAAAAGGACCATCAGAGCATCTCTCCCAGACTGAGAAAGGCAACGTGACTGCACTGTCTTACTGCTCTACAGGGACATCTTGGACAGCAACCATAGAGCTGCACTAAGTATGCACATATGGTCAGGGACCACTTTCAAAACACAGCTTTTTGTTCCCATGCCAGACATGTGGCATTTTACCTTTGTTTTAAATGCCATTAACTTCTATTTCCAGATTGTTCCTATCTAAAAATTGTTCTTTTTTATTTCCCTTTAATATTTTAAACTCCAATGGAACTAGATTTTTCCAAAGGAAAAGTTTGTAGCCAACCAAATACTTCCATGTCATAAGATGAATGATTACAGCTAAAGCAGCTATGCTTTCAGGATTAGTCTCACCTAAATATTTCATTTCTTCTTGAATCATCAACCCCTTTTTACATAAATACTGATAGAGTTTATAGATCATTCCTGAAAGCAAAGTTTGATTAGAAAACCACTGGGAAAGAGGAACTTCAGTGTTATCTAAAGGACAGATTGTGCTATCATCAAAGAACTTATGGCAAGATGATAGGTTGCTTATTTTTGATAGTGTTTTTATTTTGAACAAGAGGACTATCATAAGTCTTTTACTACTTTTGCCATTGCTGGATTATTATAATGAAGCATTTACATCAGTATAAAACCATTAGGCATTGTCTGACTCTCTGGAACTCACTGTTCTGTGAGGATTCGGCACCACATGCACCTCCTGTACTGCGGAATTCATTGAGAACTATCAATACACTCTTCCTCCAGTAAATTAGAAAGTATAAGAAACCCTGTGGCAGGCAAGATGCAAGACTGATGAGCTGCAATCAGCATAAATTACCACCTGAAAAGGAGATATATCCAATACATAAGGAAAGGGAAAATATCTATTATGACTATCGGAAAAAATCCAGGTGCAACACAAACTTGAAGTCACAAGGTTGTTATTTACAGCAACTGGAGCTTTGCAATAACACAAGACTCTGCTCATGTCTAGACACCATCAAGATGGGTGTACACCATCACAGCTAGGCAAGCCCAGCTCCCTTGTGCACCAAGATAGCTTTAATCTGCATTTACAGACTCTTTCTGGCAGAATCACACACCCACAATAGACAGATGCATCAAAGTCCTGAGCAGCACCTATGCCGACTGCTAAGGGCCTGGCTCTAGCACCATGAGACAGCAGAGGACCTGTGTTCTTCGTGCGCTGGCCCCCTGCTCTGAAGACCACCTTGTCAGACCCTGCAATGACCTGGGATAGCATTAGAACTTTGTCTCGCCTTAATAATCCAGCTAATATGGAAAAGCTTCTCCCACATGCTTCTGGGTTTGCCTGGTCCCCAGGTCCTGTCCATGCTTCTTGCACCAAAGCCAGATGCTCGGCACTCAACTCGGAGGTTGTTGGAGGGCAAATGGAGATAAAAAGGGTTAAATCTTCCAGAGGAGCAGTTCTTGCAGGAAGTTTTCTGCATCTTGTGCAGGTCCAGCAAGGTCTGTTTTTCTCCTATGAGCTGTTGTGCAGCAAAGACTGAGACCCAAACTGGACTGTAAATGCTCTAATAACCCGTGAAGTAGAGAAAAGGAGATCGGTGACAGGGATAAGAGCAGCCCAGTGTCACCAGGCATCCTAGTGGGTGATACAAGTCATCCAAGTTAGGGATTTCATTTCGATCTCCCTGTTCTTACTACATGTGCACAATTCAGGTAGCAATCTCCTCCAACAGCTCTTGTTAACTGGGCGATAAGTACCACTGATTACCAGCAGGCCTAACAACATCTCCTTTCCCTACTTCCCCAATGGAAGATGCATTGATAAAGCTCCCTCTTGCAGGAGGAGAGATCATATCTGCAAAGTGTTAATAGTCTAATGCCACTTTCAAAATAGCTAAGTTTATCCTACCTCTCAGCACTTTAAAAACAGCAGCTCCAAACATCTTTCCCCTACCAATGTATCAAGATTTATATCAGATTTGGGTTCTCTATTCCAGCTTGACTGCCCAATTATTCAGCATTCTGTAATCAAACCCCAGGAGGCCCATGACTCCTGCACATGACATCATCTGCTTTCAAGATGCTCTTGTGCTCTGAAATGAAGACGTAACTGTGTCAGGCAATAAGCAGGACGAGAATATTTCATGAATACAAAAGAAACAGTTAAAAGTCAGCAATTTATTTGGCAACATGGATGTGCTTTTGTTTGGTGGGAAAATGTCATCCCTGGCTTTTTTAATCTCAGGATGCCCTGATGTATCGTGGCACTTTGTGCTTTTTCACTGCTGTGAATTTCCATCCATTTTGTTCCCTCAAGTGGGGCAGGCTTTCCAATGGATTACCACCATTTAGTAATTACAAATATAAATGTCACTGCTGTCAAATAACATAACGCACCTCACGCATCAGGACACAAGCTGTTTAAAATCAAGCTATTATAGTAAAGCCACCGCTGTGTGAATACTCCTTGATTAAATGCATAGACATTAATCATTTTTAATAAAACCTGAATTTTGTCAAGGCAGCAATGAACTTTCCAGAAGACAGAGGAGTGGAATGATGTTTCCAGAAGGCACTGTTCCTCCAGGCATCACTTCAGCACTGGAATACAGCTCAAGTACATAATGCACAGCAGCAAGAAGCATTACTTCAAAGTGACTCCATACAGCAATATCGCAGCAGCCTCAACATATGGGAGCCTCTCACCTGGGCGCAAGCAGAGCCACTGCAATCAGAAGTGTTGTCTGCATAAGCACAGCCCTGGCAAACCAAGGCCAGGGCCATGGTAATCGGTTTTACTGCCCTGTCAATCCCACCCCCAGGAAGATGTTTCCCTGCCAGCCCGCTCAATGCCAAGACAGTTCCTATTTTCCACGCTGTCAGTCTCAAATCCTACCAGTTTTCAGGCTGTAGAAGATAGATTATCTCAGCAGCATCATGGCAGAGGCACTGCTGAGGATGGCCAGTTACTCAAAGAGAAAAGGGTAAATTTTTCCCCCATGCTTTTCTATCTGTGTCAGACCCATCTGCCATCCACTGCTGTGCTCATCTTTGTCATGCCTGGGAACGGCAACTCCACCAAAGGGTCTGCAGCACGCATTAATTAAGCGGAAACACGGCTTGATGGAAGGATTCAGTTTATCTTTCCAGAGAAGGAATATTGTGGGAAAACAAGCTATGATTATTTCCCCTATATATTAAAAGGGTTATTTTGCATCAGGATCAAATTGCAGTCACAGAGTGGAGCAGCCGCTTGGCATGATGATAGATTGCTGTATCAGTCATACCTGTGAACCTTATTTACAGAAGCATCACAAAAATATTTGAGCTGACGGCAGTTCCATTTTGAGAGCAAATACAGGAAAAATGTTTTCTATTCCACAGAACTTACAACTTCTTAAAAAAGCCCCATGTGCAAACCATGTTTCCCTTCAGTCCTTCAGCTCCTGCTGACTTATTCAATAAAGAGTCCTAAAGGCATTCCCCACTTTAAGCCCATGAAGAGCTCAGAACCCCCACGTGAACTGGGCACAGCCATAGTGACACCCAGCCCCATGCTGCTCCCTCTATCACCCCAGTACAGCTGCACATGCAGCTGCACAACAAGAGCAAACGAGGAACTGTTCTGGGCTAAAAATAAAGGCAACTCTTTGCAAATAGTTTCTTAAATTTAGCTTCAGAAGATGCAGCAAAACTCCGTTTGAATGAAGCTGGTCTGTTAGGAGCAAGATGCACCCTGGCAGGCTCAGCTCCTCCCAGGAAACATGGGGTTTCTCTATAGTGCCCTTGTGCACATCAGCATCACGCGCTGTAGAGCCAAGTGTCCCCAGGGACACCATAGTCCTCCCCTGGGCCACCCCATCACACCCATAGCTAGCCTCACCAGGCAGACACAAAGCATCACAAGGCACCTCATCTGACCTGCTCCGAGATTACCTGGTGGCTTTATCACAGTCTTAGCCAACAGCAGAAGCCCCTAGATGGTGGGGTTTGCTTTTTCGTATAAGCTTTCCTGATCAGCTGAAACACACAATTATACATTCCTCAGAAGTTATCTCTCTGCAGCCGAAAAGCATCAGACAAGCAAAACACAAAGAAGGAAGAAGCTGTTATAAATATTACAGCCAGAGTACACAGCCCTTCCCCTTCCAGCTGCCCTGCCCCAAATCAAGCACATGAACTAGAACTGCAGCTCAGTCCCCTCTTCCCAGCATAAACATATCAGAAAGAAAGCACACCAGGACACACACCACATTGCCACCTAGCAATAGAGCCAGTGCTGCGCTTTATACTTGTAAATCCCTTCTGGGTGGTCATTACAAACTCAGGTCAATATCTGACCTCCCTGGCATCACATAGAGCAGCTCTACTGAAAGCTGCTTCAACTGCAGGAGTGCAAACACAGCCCCTTCTCCCCAGGTATATTCCCTGAGAGACTAGAAGACCTCTTCATATTTAAGCAGGCTTTGCCCAGGTGCAAGCCCTCTCCTCCTCCTCAGCACTCCACAACTAGAGACTGAACCTCAAAGGGAACCAAGCTATTTCAAGCAGAAGGAAAACCAAAGCAGTCAGCGCCCTGACTTACCACCCCTGGTCCCAAGCCGCTCCTCTCCCCACAGCTACCTCCTCCTCTGGAAAGGCTCTTCACTCTGCCAGCCTCCAAAATGAGCTCCTCACGCACCACAATCCACCTGAGCTGGGGAGGAGCCTTTTATAAACTCATGGTGCTTAATGATTATCAGGTGGTCTAGATTCAAGGCACGAAAACAAAGCCTATCTGCTCCACCTGAGAGCTCTTCCCCCAGCCCCCTGGATTACCCAGGGAGGAAATGTGTGACTTCATGACAAATAGTTGTGGTCCTTCATGGACAACATGTATGGAGAGGCCAGCCCAGAGAAAAGCACTGATAGAGCATCCAAGTTGAAATACTTTTGGTGTTTTCTGGGGTTTTTACTTTCTTTCTGAGCAAAGAATCAAACTTTTCTATATGGTAGAAATATAAAAATGTGAGGGGTAGATTCAGCAGCAAAGCACAAAAATTAACACATGTGATGAATACAAGCATCTGCATCTCGCTCTGCACTTCAGTACCAGTGTGGACATGTCTGTCCATACCACCAATGACACTCAGTACTGCTGCTCTATCTGTAGAGCCAGGTCAGTGATGGAAGAACAACATGGAGTCTACTCTGCCTCATAAATCACTGAAGAAATTACCTGGTGAGGAAATACCTCACTGGAAGAGGCACAAAGGGCAGATCCTGGCATTGCCACCCGGCTGTGGTGGCCAGCAGGGCTGGTTGACAGCCTTAACCTGTCAGAATGAGGTCTCAGACCATGATGTGCTGTCTTGCCCTTCACTGTTCAGCCCATTTTTAATGTGCAGATGTTACATTCATTTGTTTCAGAAGAGAGAACAGGTCCTCAGCAGTCTTCTGCACCACAGACCTGTCAGTGCTTGATGCTGGGGTGCTATGAGGCATCCCCTATTCTTACCCATGAATGATAAATGAAAGCCAGACTGACAGCCATGCTTTACAAGCAAAGGGAACCTTCTTGTGTGCCATTGCAGAAATCATGCTCTGCAAACACATGGGTTTATTCTGCATGTGCAAACGTGAGCTCACAGAGATCACACAGGCATTACTTGCAAGAGCCCTGAAGCCCCTGTGTGTGGCCAGCTTGGGGCAGGCACAGGGGCTGAGATGTGCCACAGCATCCCGAGGCTGCTCTAACTTACACCGGGGTGGATGTGCACCCAGGTTTTCCTCCCCATAGCAATCCAGAGAGCACAACATCCTCTTCATCTCCATAACCTTTGTACAAAGCAGGAGTGAGTACTGCAGGGGGGCTGGGAGAGGTACGAGGAGGTGAAAAGGTCCTTTTGCCAAAGTGATGGCCATACAGTAGTAATGCGGCCACAGAACTGAGCTCCGATCCCCCCAAGCATCATCCTCCTGATCTGAATCTGAAAATCTTTTGAAAAGCCTGTCATACACCTCAATTACCTTAACCACTAAGACATCACATTCCAGCACTGATTTGAACACACACCAATTATTTAAGTCAATTGCCTATTAAAATTCATTTTTGGTGAAAGGTCAAACATGCAGATTGAAACCAGAGGCAGTGCTTTATGGCTATCAGGACTGTGATCTGCACACAGGTTCATTATCATGTTTCTACAGAAGTAATTTCTCTTGTCAAACCGCACTGTGTGCAAGTGTCGCTGTTACAAGCTCCATTAATTAAGAGGGCTTTTTACTGTTATTAACAGAAAGTTTTAAATACTTCAGTCTCAAATAAAGACAGGTAAAAGGCATTGGTGCTTATAGCCAATGGCATGCTGCTCCTGATATTCAGAGAGAAAAGGAATTAAGTTTGCAGCTGGATGTTCATTTTATTCAGTTACAGAATCTCTGAGGAGCTTTAAGACTCCCTATGGACAATAACAGTGCTAAGTGGTACCCTCTTCCAAAGATGCTATCAACATCCTGGTTGCACAGGCAGGACTGCATCACTTGTAAAGTGTGGTGGCTTCTGTTAATCCACCTGAAGCCCACCAAGAGGAAAAGGCCACAGCTATGGCCTCTCCGTGTCACCTTGAAGCTTCTGTCAACTCCTGATGAAAGGCAGCAGAAGAACAGCAAAGCAGCCTCAAAGCATTTACGTTGCCCTCTCCCTTAGCAGCCAGAGCTGGGAAATCCCACCCTGGCTTCATTTACCTAAGTTGCCATCTGATTGTAAGGTCCTAGGAAAATAAAGGCCAGTTACTCATGGGTTGCTCCATCACTGCTTGCATGTGTCTTCCCCCAGCGCACCTGCTTCCCTTTGCATCCTTCTTTTATGTAAAGGGATACAAGAGGCTTATGCAGTGAGGGGGCATTGACACAGAGGGGCAAACACAGCATTTCCTTCCAGAGTCTCAGAAGTGTTTTATTGCTTTCAATATTGACCCTGTAACTCTCCCCAGAGAAAAATTAATTTTCTTCTGAGCTAAACATCATTTGAAAGGAAGCCAGCAGTTCCAGTGGGAAAATGCTAGCATTCCCTTGGGAAAACTGGAAACGAGCCAAAAGGGAAGTTTTCATCTTAAAACACCAGCTTGAAATACATTTGCATTTGTGCCCCCCAACAGGAGGCATAGCTTTCCTCTTAAGATGTTCTTTAAAAGGTTGTGTTTTAGTGGAAGGAGGAGGTGTTTGATACTTCTGATAGGAAAATCTGATCTCTGACCGTCTCTGAACATCTGAAAGTGTTTTGAGCTCTTTGCAACACAGCCTACATTATCATTTCTGGGTGCTGCAAGTTGCACAGATCAAGTCAACAAACTGTAAGCATCTTATGGGTAATTATGTTCATTATGTCTCTTCCCAGCCCAGGGAATCGCTTCACTTGCACGTGGCACCAACACAGACCAGTGCTTTAATTACAGCAAATTCCATAGTTCTTCCAAGATTTCCTAACAGCTCTTTAAGCCAGTCGCCAGGGAATAGTGAAACAGAAGCACATAGGTGTTGCAGGGAGGGTGGGTGGGTGAGTGGGTCCATTCCCATTCGAGTCCTTCATCTCCTTATCTTTCACCATGAATCTACTTCTTGTTTGCTGTTGAGCACAGTTTGGTTTCTTGTGGCATGGTTAAATTTACCGGTTCTCAGCAAAGGTAAAAAGGGGGGAGATTGTCGGCATCTCCAATGTGACCCCCAGGAAACATCTGCTGCTGGATACAGATGAGAAGCCCCATCCAGCTCTATGACTGGCTTTATATGCATAACCAGGAAAGAAAATTCACAGTAAAAATGGGGGGGGTTGTTGCCTTGCACCCACCTCTCTGCTTAAAACTTGGATAAATGTCACTGAAATGAGAGGAAAAGTTTTCACTTACAACTAATGTTTGGAGCAAGCAGAGTAGCCAACTTCCAGTTGACTTCTCTTCCCAGCTATTCATGTCCAGGAAGGTCTGGGATAGTGGGATTTGCTTAACTCAAAGGCCATGTTATTATTTATCCTCCCAACACCTCCCTTGAAATTAAGGCCAGGGAAGAACACACTTTACAGAGGAGTTGGTATCCGAAGTGGGAAGTGCTGGAAAGGTGCAGGTGAAGGGACTGCACCCCGAGTAGACATCTCTCTGTTGCACGCCTCATGGGAAATGAGAAGGTGCCTCCTGAAACTGGGAGCAAACAGCCACGCAAAGGAGATTGAGGATGGGGAAAGGCATCAAAAAGCAGAAGTCCTGTCTGAAGGGATGCAGTGTTGGTCCTGCTACTGGTTGGGTTGGGCTTGACTCCTCTCTTAAAAACTGTTTGAAAATAAGTCCATGGACACAGACTCTAGAAAGGACCAGTGGAGAGGATCAAGCTGCTCTTTCAATGCCCATCATGTTTCCAGTTCAGCTGCAGTGGCTGGTCTAAAGGCAGGTCGGGGACTCTCTTGCAGTGCGTTTTGTGATACAGGCACATACATGCTGGGAGGAGAGCAGCATGGCCAAGCCAGCAACATTAGCAGATGGTGAGCATCTTCCATCGCAGCACAAGCCGCAGGGCCATCTCAGGAGGAGGGGAGGCTCAACACCTGCTCCTTGAGTTTCACACAGATCCCAGCAAGTGAAGGGATGATCCAGGAGCAGGAGGTGCACTACCTACAGCATCATCTCCCCAGCTGTGGTCTCTGGAGGCCACGGCAAGATGTCTGCAAGACCACGGCTTCTGGGGACTGAAACTGCTCTGTTTGGCTGAAAGAAAACATAGGAAGGGACAGTGCCTTGGAGCTGTGTAACTCTGGCATTGAATCCCAAAATCAAATATCCTCTCTCCACCTCCCTTCCTTCCTTAAAACAGGATAAGTCCCTGTGCAGGACCTCACAGTAACGCCTGTCTGAATGTGAGTGGCAAAGGGGAGGCATCTCAGAGCAACTTCCAAATGACCAGCATCGAGGAGCTACAGCAGATTGGCTGAGCTCATCCCAATGCCAGTGTGAGATGGTCCCTGGGTAGGGTACACAGCTGATGTGAAACTGATGCTACACTTGATCTTAGCTGAAAGGCCATTAAAAGGAAATCAGAAGAGACAGGCTAAAAGCAATTTATAGGGTTACAAAATGATGTATTACATGCACCATGGCTCCAGGTTTGCAGTAATTTAGACTGGTATTGATTGAGGAGCAACTGGGGCATATTCCACCACCTTTTTAATTTCAGTCTGATTTGGCCACTGCTTGCAGGTCAGCAGGCAATTTGCTGAGACAAAAAACAAACCAAGCATTAGAGCAGCCTGAATCACCCTCTTCTACAAGTACCTTGTAAATAACTTTTAAGGCTGAACAAGGAGAAGAAAATGAAAGAACTGGTTAATCAAGACTGAAGTTTCAGGCTGAGAAAAAAATGGATTCACTGCATAGTTAAGAAGGACTATCACTCACACGTAGCATCATTGCCTGCCTTTGTTTTCTCAGAGAAATATGCTGTCTATTTCCTCATATTACAGTGCTAATTCTGATTCAATGTGAACTGATTAGATACCAAAATAAAGCCAAAGTACACACGGTGTCTCACAAAGGCCCCTAATCGTATCATTGCAGCAATGGGAAGGATGACTTGGTGGGATTCCAGATTATTCAAACCATGCAATGGTGTAGGATTGTCTTTACAGTCTGAGGAGATGAACAAGCTGTGA